AAAATAAAATAAAATAAAAACAAAAAAAGCATATTTAGTCAGTGATAGAGTTGGTAGTTTTGACATTTGCTTCTAGTCATGGTCAAATAAAAATAGCAACATTTCAGAATTTACATAGTGTCAGGTGCACTGTTTGCTTGTTTGATACCTGAGATTGAGCCTCAGTGTGCTTAATCACTGAGCCATATCAGGGTTTTTGTTTTATTTCTTTATTTTTTAATTTTTGGTACTAGGGATTGAACCCAAGGGTGCTTGACCACTGAGCCACATACCTAGCCCTTTTATATTTTATTTGAGACGGGATCTCTCTAAATTGCTAAGGCTTTGCTAAGTTGCTAAGACTGGCTTTGAATTTGTGATCCTCGTGCTTCAGCCTCCCTGAACCTCTGGGATTACAGGTATGCTTCACCATGCCTGTGGCACATTGTTTTTATTAATCCTTACAATAACCCTGTGAGGTATGTATATTAGTCTCACACATGAGGAAATAGGTACAGAGATGTAAATGGCTTTTAAGTGATAGAATTGGAATTTGACTTTATGTAGTCCTATTTTAAAATATTGTAAAGTGAAGAATGAATATTTTATAGCAAAACCAGGAATTTATAACTTTACTTTTCATGAGTCAAGTTTATTAAAATTTATTTTTAATTTACATTTTTAAAAAATCTTAATTGGAATTTCAAATATGGAGAGGTATTAATGGTTTGAGAATGTTTAAACTGTTCTTTCTAGTCTTTGTCCTTGGGTTTTTAAATATATTCCTTACAGTTCTGAATTTTCAATGATTTTTTCTAAGTATATGATTTTGGGATCTGTCAGTGTTTAGTTATTCCTGAAAGTTTTTTTTTAATTATTGTTCTTTTTAGATACACTTGATAGTAGAGTGTATTTTGACCTTTTATACATATATGGACTATAACTTATTCCAGTTAGGATTCCTGAGAGATATTTTGACATATTGTATTAAAGCTCATTTTGGGGTTTTACTTTACAATTCTGAAAAGACACATATTATTATCTTGGAAATTTTCTTACTGGTATTTTTTCATCTGGTTTTTAATTTTGTTTATTTATGTTTTGTGGGGCTAGGAATTGAGACCAGAGGTGTTCTACCACGGAACTACACCTTCTGCCCTTTTTATTTTTTGAGATAGGATCTCGCTAAGTTTCTGAGGTTGGCCCTGAAATTGTGATTCTCCTGTGTCAGCCTTGAAAGTATCTAGGATTGCAAACATGCAACATCATGCCCAACTTCAGCTCCTCTGATTTTTAAAAACATATATCCAGTGCTCTTTTAGAACTGTAATCCTCTAAGCCCTTAGTAAATATTTTTCTTTGTAAATTTCCTTCTAAAAGTTTCCTAACTATATATAAATATGACACCAATGACTTTGGCATTTCTTTTCAGTTCTGAAATCTGCTGACAAGGCCAATGTGAGAATGAGTCTTCTATTTAGCGTTTTTATTTTTATGTGCCAGGCTGAAGACTTGAAGACACTAATCAGAAACATGGAGCACTGGGCACATAGGCTATTCCCCAAACTGCAATTTGAGGATTTTATTGACAGAGTTGAATATCTGGGAAATAAAAAGGAAGTGCAGGTAAGTATTGTGATTATTATGAATGTTGTTCATAGTGCTAAATAGAACAAAGGTAAATGTAGCTGAGGTTAGATTGCTATTTTGGGGTTTTCATTTTGAAATTTGTTGTGGTAGAGGGAAAATTAATAATGTCTATTTGAAGGACAGTTCTTTAGAAACTAAGAATTGAATAAGTGATCATTTCTCTTCCTAACATTTAGATGAAAATGTAAAAATATCTTCTTTATTGTCAGACCTGTTTAAAACGAATTCGACTTGATCTCCCTATTTTACATGAAGATTTTGTTAGCAATGATGGTAAGTATATAGGTTTATCTGCTTTATAACAATTTTGCTTTTAGAAATGGATCCAATTGGGGTAGGTAACAGAGGACTGTATTCTCAATCTGTATTGTGTATATAATCAGTACAGTTGATAGGAACAAGTTAAAATGCATTAGGAAATCTAGAATGCATATGAAATTTTTTTTTTTTTTTCTTTTTTAGGGGAGGGGTACTGGGGGTTGAACTCAGGGCCACTCAACTACTAAGCCACATCCCCAGCCCTGTTTTGTATTTTATTTAGAGACAGGTCTGAGTTGCTTAGCACATGCCATTGCTAAGGCTGGCTTTAAACCCATGATCCTCCTGCCTTAGCTTCCCAAGCCACTGGGATTCCAGGCATGTGCCACCACGCCTGGCTGAAATTTGTTTCTTTTTCTTTTTTAATATTTTTTAGTTGCTGA